CAATTTGTAAATGTTGTCAGTCTCCACTTATACCAGGAGAGACAGCAAGAGTACGATTGGTATCGAAACCAGTGAAAGCTGTTAAATATACGTGCTTGACTTGCTTAAGTGTTAAAAAGTATCCTACGAAAAAGGGGCACAAATTATGGACAGAACGGCCCGAATCAGTGGTTCAGAATTTAAATTACGCGTTAGTATCAAGTGAGAAAAAACCTAATGTTAAAGAAAGAAAAGGTAATTCGAACAGAACGGAACGTATGGACACTGACAAAAAAGTTGAATGTACACAGATTTGAATATTTATTTTCACACGATGTGAAACGTGATGAATGTCGACATACGAATATTTTCCTTACCAATGGCTTACATAAAATATGTTACAATAAATTTATAATCAATAAACAGATATCTTTACTAACTGGAATATTCATAACCATCTAGTAATATCGTGATACTGATATTAGTTTAACATTAAATGTTTATAGACATAACATGATCATAATTAAGTTATTGTATCTTGATTATATAATATATACTGTACGGTGAGAGCCGTTCGCAATAAATTTCACAGACCCCCAATGTGCATGATTCGTTCGTTGAGGACGGTTTTTATTTGAAATGACGCGAAGAGATGCTCGCAGGACGCGCGGAATGATTATGTTCTTACCTAACATCGAAATTTGATGCGAACGTCTCGGCTTTAACTAGCTATGATATGACTATATCCGCCCATCGCTAATGAGTCTTACAGAAGTTTAATTGCGAATCAACTGTCGCGAGTGCATACGCGGGCGTAATCAAATCACAGATTAATCCGATAAAAATCAGTCATTAAACTCTAACATAAATAAATACATAACATATATATATATATATATAAAATAATAATCGCACATGAGCCTACGACGCAGCTGATATACCGATTGATTTTTTTTCTTATAAATACTCTTAACATCGTGAGCTTGTTCTGTTCTTACGTAGAACATTATTTTCTTTAATATTAATGCCACGACATGGCAGTGATTCTTTCGTTCGTAATGACATTATAAGTACGTTCTCATATTTTCTTTCACGTGTAAAACGTACGGAAGTTATATATAAATACTAAACTAGTGAGGAAGTAATAAGAAAACTGCGCTGGACGGAGTCTACACATTCATTTATATACATATATCTGTCGTGCCAAGCTCCGGTCGTTAAGCTATTTCACAGTGTCTATTATACTAGCAATTTTGATTTTTCTAACAATGCCTAACAGTCAGTTAGAAGGAGACCACAGGTTGGCAACGCACACATATATACATGCACACACCAGCTACAGGGAAATAACACGTATTTTATTCCAATAATATTGACTGTCGTTCGCCGTTTAACTTTTCAATCTATCTCTTTGACGTTTTGAAAAGTTCGAACTGAAGTAGCAAAAGCTGCAGACCCAGTCAGTGTTTTTCTTTTTCTGCGTAATTCGGGACAATTTTCGTGCTCCCCTCGTACACGCGTCTACTCGCAGACAAACCTAACGATATTATTCGATTTATTGTCGAAAAGGTGTGTGCATGCGAGTATAATCTCTCGGGAAGGCGCGTGCAACAGTCGGAGTCGTAGTTAGAGAGGTACAACGTACGGTAATCTATTATGTCGATTGGGAAAAGGGACTGGCGAAGAACTGAATTTATACTAGCGCTGATACAAACTGGGGCTGGCCATCGAGGTCGATCGTGAGTTGAGGAATTAAATTCGAGGATGGTTGGAATGTTGACCCTTGGAAACCCATGGCTGATTCGTAAAGCTACAATGAAACATATAACATGAGATACAATTGTATCTCGTGAATCACGAGTTAACGAAATTTGTTGTATACATTGTGGTTTCCTGGAAGTGTTGTGTAATCTGGCGTCGTTGGACGGTGCCTGTTCGTAGGCATTGGACGCTGGATGGTAGCGTAGGTATTATCTTGCGATGTGTCACCCATTCCAACGCTGACTCCGCTTCCTCGCCTTTCCGTACCCAGGCCTCCTTCTGGCTCGCTAAATACTTGCATCGTTAATTCCTGCTCCTCATATAATTTTAGTTTCCTGGAATAATTATTACATGGATATAATAATTCACGTTTCTAAAAGATGACGCTCTCTTTACTCACTGCTCAATCCATAGAGGATTTTCTGTAGTATTTAATTCGTCGATTATTTGTTTTTTTATTAGGCCGTCCTTCTTTCGTATATCGTTTGGCACAGTAATTACCCTGAAATTCATGTGAAACGTTTCATGTCTTTGAAATAGAGCAAGGGGATATATTTATATTCAATAATTACCAATGTCGTAAACAGCAGCAAACTACCGTTACAGTAACCGCACCAACTAGTAAAACTACTAATAAGGCTATCAAAGCCGCCAATGCAGGATCGAAAGGTTCTTCCTGGACACCAGCATAGGCAGGCTAAAAATTGTACACGTAAGAATTAACTGTGAATAGTTTTTTAAATATAGGTAATACGTACCACTACGTTCTCAATGGCGAAGCCAGCATAATAATCTTTCAAAAAGTCATATTTCGCGTCAATGACTTTAAGTACTTGTGGGATGGGAGCGATAGTTTGAGTCTTAGGCTCTACTACGTGTAAATACATATCACACCTGCGTAAATTGAAATTTTAGAGTCACACATAATACAGACAAATTATTAAAGTGTTTTTTTTACCATTCTCTGCGAATGTGGCCAGATGCGTCCACATGATATCGGATATCATCAACGACGACTCTGTTTTGAGTCGCGTTCGATAACTCTGTCACGATCTCATCACGCTGACGATTCACTTCCTCAGGAGGTCGTGACAAAATAACTCGTATTAATTGTGAAGCCTCGAACACCCAAACCTTCATCAGTATGAAAATCAAGTGATTAAAACATCAAGGATACCTACGTATGAAAGTATTTACAGTTTTACGTTGGATAACTTACATGAACTCTGGTCATGGCGTATCTTTCGGGTATAGCTGTTTCTTTCGCTACGACTTCAACGATGAACCTGTCTTGATTATACTCGGCCATGTATCCGCTTGTAACGAGTTTTCCATCTTGTGTTACGTTGAAGGGACTTGGGACTATAGAGCCGCTAGGTTTATCAGAACCATATTTGTATAAATTCGCGCTCGCGACATAGTAATGTAGGGTGCCATTGTCTCCGACGTCTAAATCCGACGCCGTTACTTTCGTCACGAAATCGTTCACGTTCGCCATCGAATTAACACCAGCGTAGTAATCGTTCCGCTCAAATATAGGTGGATTGTCATTTTCGTCGAGGATAGTTATGGTGACATTTACATGTCCGTGATCAGTATTATGAGATAACGGGCGACCAGCATCCGTCGGATTTATGTAGATATCAGGATCGTTAGAGGCGAGTATCGACAAAACGTATTTGTCTCGAGTTTCGCGATCGAACGATTTATTCGCGTATATGCTGCCGTCGGATTTATCCATGTAAAAGGCGTAATTCTCGTTTCCTAGATAAAAATTTCACTTATACATGGGTTTCATTTAAATCTAAGTAGACTATATATATGATATTGCTTACCAGCTTCTATATAGTAATAAACTTTCGCGTGTCTGCCTTCGTCTTTGTCTTCCGCGGTTACTTTCCCGACGAAGTAATCTTTCGGGCGATTCTCCGATATTTGAAAATGATACTCGTCAAAGAATTGTGGCGCGTTGTCGTTTGTGTCTACCAACTGTATTGTAAGCAATCGTAATGTTTCGTATGCTGTGGGAGTGCCGTGATCGGCAGCTACAAGTACAAGCTAAAAGATCGACGGTATTATTATTCAATAGAGTAATTGACATACGATTTAATTATATGAATATAGTTTACCTCAAATTTACTTTTCGCTTCACGGTCGAGAATGATTTTCGACCTCAATTCGCCCGTTTCCTGATCTATCGAAAATTCTTCCGTTTCTTGGGTGTTTCGATTAGCGACTTTTAAATGATAGCTTATGCGCCCATTTTCACCAGGATCCCTGTCCACCGCTTTCACTGTCAATATTAAATAATTTGGCACACCGGTGTTCTAAAAAATGTCGTTTTCGTTACTACGTTTGTACGATTTCGAGAAAGACAAAGCAATTAATGAATCATCCTAATACCTCCGGTATTTCAACAGTAGCGTTCGTCAGCTCTGGTAGAATGAATTGAGGCTTATGCTGATTTACTGACGTTACTCGTATATCAACGTGACATCTATCCGTATGTGGACCATTACCGGCACCATCTCTAGCTTCTATATCGATTCTGTACGATCCAGCTCTGCCAAGAAGCGCCGCGCCAGGATACAAAATACCCGTTTCACGATTTAAGGAAAACGATTCGTTCTCGTTTCCAAGGACTATAGTGTACCAAACTTCCCCATTGATTCCTTCGTCGTGATCTACAGCCCTGACCTTGTAACGAATAACACTCGCCAGTTAGTGGCTGCTTAACGCTCTTGTACAAATATAGACTGACGAGATTTTTAATCACCTGTAAAATCGGGGCCGGAGGATTTACCGGTAGATTTTCAGCCACCGAAGCTCTGTAGCTGTGTTGCGTAAATATCGGGCGATTGTCATTAACATCGATCAGTTTAACAACCACCGGCACAGTGGTGCTTCGACGGGCATTTACGTGGGCACCATCGCTAGCCATTACTATTATAGTAATTTTCGGTGTCACTTCCCTATCGAGAACGGCGGCACCGCCAACGGTAATTTCTCCCGTCTCATGACCTGCAATTTATTATTATGTTAATGGCTGTTAGTAAAATATGATTGAAGTCGATTATTTGAGATAAAGACGCGCGACTTACCGATATTAAAATCAGCGGCGTGGTCTCCAATAAGGCTGTAACTGACCTCTCCGAATGGGCCTTCGTCTCCGTCTGTTGCTCGAACTACGGCAACATGCGTGCCCGGTGGCGAGTTTTCCTTCACGGAAACGTTGTACAATTCCTTCTCGAATTTCGGGTCCTGGTCGTTAACGTTTATAACAGTAACGATCACTTTGGCAGTCGCGGTCAACTGAGGCACTCCAGAATCGTAGGCCACTACTGTAAACTCTAATTGTTTCGTTTCTTCGTAGTCGATAACTTGACTCGTTCGTACGATTCCGGTTACGTTGTCGATATTGAAATAGGGGCTCGGCGGCGTGATCGCATATCCCGCTATATTGCTATCTGCGTCTATCGCGGTGAATGCTCCAACGACAGCTCCGGTTGGCTGCTCTTCCTGCATCTCGATTAAATACCGTGGGTTCTCCCTTGTCCACGGTTTCAAGAATTCCGGCGCCATGTGATTCACGTCGATGATCGTGACTATCAAAGTGCCTCTTCCCTGTTGCAACGTAGGCGCCGTCGTATCGCTGACGACAACCGTAATGCTGACCGTTGCTGCAACGTCGCGATTCAACGGCCTAACGACAGAAACTTGACCAGTCGCGCGATCGACAGCAAAAAAGTCTTTGAACGATTTGCTGTCGTTAACCCGTTGACCGTTCCTGTCGATGGCCGTGATCGGCTCGGAAATGGCAAAGTTCAGTGCCTCCGAATTGGCACTGTCCGGATCCGTAGCTTTTAACGTGGTAAACACGGTGCCAATAGGTGTATCTTCTGTGACTTCAGCCCTTTGAGTCTCCGGCGTGAAATATGGCGCTTTGTCGTTGCTGTTTTCAACGTTTATGATCAACGTCGTCGTTCCGGTTAAACTAGGAGTTCCCTTATCGAGTGCAATGATTTCCACGTGGTACTTGTTTTTATTGTCGTAATCCAACTTCCTGAATACCGTCATGATGCCTGTTGTCTCGTTAATGGCAAAATCATCGAAAGCCCCTTTCTGTATTCTGTAAACGAGCTCCGCGTTTACTCCCGTATCAGCGTCCGTCGCTGTAACTTCTTGGACGATTGTTCCGATCGGCGATATCTCTGGTATGCTCGCGGTGTACAGCTCGTGCGTAAATACCGGCGCGTTATTATTTACGTCGCGAATCGTGATGTTCACGATGGCGGAATCGACGAACATCCCGTCGCTTGCTTGTATGACGAGCGCGATCCAATCGTGGGTGGAATTCGTTAAATCGACCGGCCCCTTGTTCTTGATCGTAATTTCACCGGTATCTTGGTCGATATCGAAGAATCCCAACTCGTCACCGCCTACGATCGCGTACGTGATTTTCGACGTTTTATCCTTGTCACGCGCTTGCACTTTCAAGTCGGGCTCGAATTTTTCGGCTCCTTCGTCTATAACGGCGCGGTACTTGTCTTGCAGAAATCGTGGTGGGCTGTCATTGGCATCCGATAAACTGATGCGCAACGAGACGCTAGTCGTTTGCCCCTGTCCATCGTTGTCAGTCGCCTAACGAACGAAAGCATGATTAAAATACAAGTTGATTTCCTTCAGGTATCCTAAAAGGACATACTTTGTAAGTGAGAAAATATTCTGTTTGCTCCTCATAATCCAGACACGGCATCGTTCCGGGCGTCGGGCAAGGAGCCACTGTGATAGCTCCAGTTTTTCGATCGACTGAGAAGTTTTGAGCACCTTGTCCAAGAAGCTGATAAGCTATACCGGCTGTACCAAATCTAGAACGCAACTCAATTCTAAAGCTTTTGTTCAGTATCGGAATTGGGACAAACAGAGTGAGTGGCCTTAGCTGATAAAAATTTGACTAATGAAATTCATCTTATAAAACCAGCATATCTCCTTGATCGGGCAAGTCACCCTGTTTGAAAGATTGTTCTACAATTGTTCTTACCGTCCGCTATCGCGATCTTTCGCAGTGATCGTTATAACTGGCGTGCCAGGGGCTGCAGTTTCCAGTACTGTGGCTGTGTAAGTGGGATTACTGAAAACCGGTGAATTATCGTTCGCGTCTGTGATTGCGACGGTCACAGTGGCAGTGGAGGCGAGCTTAGCAGTCGTGTGAACTTCTTCCGCGACGACCTGCATGACACATGGAAAATTTTAGGTAAAAAAAAAGAACGAAACATAATTTGCAAATACGTCAGCGAGTGATTTACCAGGATAATAAATTTTCGCTGGTTGGGATTTTCGTAATCGAGGGAACCATTTGCGACGCGAATATTGACCGACGTGCTCCCAGTCGCCATAGTCGGTTCAATGGTAAATGCCCCGTCCGTAATGTCCTCCAGATGCAGAGAGAATACCGAGTTCAGCCCCTGTAACGACGCAATCTTATGAACATCGTGATTGCACATGTGAAAATCTAAATTTAAAGAGAACAGGAATTTTTAGAAAATGTATCGTTAAAACGAGAATTCACTTAATTCGCTGAATCAATCTGAAGAATTCTAATTTACGTTGGATTCGGAATATAAATTACATTTTATCTCAGGTATACTTCCTTTCGTAATACAAAGTTTAATTTTCTTCCACGAGGCAATATACTCACGACGTCGGGATCCTTGACGGTCATATCTAAGTGCGGCAGAGGCGTCCCGTTCGGCACGTTCTCCGGAATCTCGATATTGTATTCGCGCCGGTTGAAAGTAGGCGGCTCGTCGTTAACATCCTTGATCGTCACCGTCGCCTCGGCCGTCGACACCGTCAAGTTGTCGTTGCCTGGTATTCCGTCGATTAGTTCGCGTGCTCTAACTTTTAGCGTCAGCACTCCGGTCGAATCCTTTAATGCTTCCCTGTTCAGAGGCTTTGCCGTTCTCAGCTCGCCTGTCTCGTCGTCCAGTAGAAAATAGTCGAACGGATCTGTGAAAATAATATAGAAAATCTAATAAACTTTCTGAATACACGATTTAATTATAAACTCTTGTAAATATAATAACGTGGCGGAATTTAAATGAATAAAACTGGAAGGACGGAAAAAACGAAGTCGACTCACTGGTGACCAATTCGTAGATCATTTTCCTCGGCATTCCCCTGTCGCCGTCTCTGGCTTTGACGGTCATAACTAAGGTTCCGATGGGATCGTCCTCGCGTACCACACCTGTTAGCGAGTCCAGGAATTCCGGCGGACTGTTCTGAATGTCTGCCACCTTGATTTCTACCCCCGTGGTCTCATTGTTCAGTCCGTCCTGCGAGGGAAATTTGCATATGTAAAAGTCATCCGCGGCTCGATCTCCGGGTCACCCCGCCCGCGCTGCTTACGACGAGCGTTGCAATTTTCATGCACCGGCCACGTCTCGTCTGTCAGTTGAATTCTGTCCGAAAATCTTGTCTCCACTGTTTGAATAAATTATACTTTGACATTACCGTTGACCGCGACGTGAACAACAGGAAATTCGAGAACGTAAACGATTAACTTTGCCTTTCACTCTGACACGCCGTTAACGCGAACAAGTTCAAGAATTCACAATTCGTATATTAATAAACGATCTTTTCCGATTATTAATTCCCGTTTTTATCCCGCGTAACGATCTCTTTTATTTCGACCCGATTGTCGGGAAACAGTCTGTGCAGTATTGGGATCGGCGATAAGCTATGCATCCTTCAGTCGCATCATGAATAGATTTATCTAGGATGCTGACAAGTGAAGTAGTGGTTAGACGCTCTGTCAGAGGCATAATTAAAATCAATTTTCAAGCTGTACTCACGCTCGCTTTGAGTAGTAGTTGGTAAAAGGGCCTCTCCCTGTAGTCGAGTGGCTGTCGCAACATCAGGGCGCCCACATACGCGTTCTGGCTTTTCTCCATGCTCACTATACCGAACTTCTCGCAGGCGTCGAGGAACTGCAACAGAACCATCACATTGAACGCAGGTGGGTACATTGACCCGCAAGCGCTGCTCCCGAACGTTCATACATAGTTCGAAGACAATATCTCGATGCCTTCAGGGATCGAAATCGCTTTCTTGTACAACGTAATCACGGTGATACGCTGTTAAGATGCATATAAGCTTGACAAAGGTTTGATCATTATCGAAGCGAACGAAGACAAATTGTGCATAGAAGATCTGACAAGGGAATTAAAAAAATATAATGAATTCGCAATGGGAAAAATAGGAACTGAAGTCACTCGGACTGATATCACGAGTCCATCTCGTCATGAACATTTTTCAGCAAACTGACAATGACGAGTCCAGCTGGTCATGAACATTTTTCAGCAAACTGACAAGCTGCACTCGTCAGAAATTGAGTTGGAGCTTTCATTTGGCATGCAAAAATTAAATTAAAAATTCTCTTTTATGAATACATTTGCTTTTTAATTAGTTTCTATAATGTATAATGTAACAGCTATATATACTGTGAGTTTTGCTCGTAACTCGCGACGATTTTTGGTAGCACATTTTAAATGGGAATACAGCCGAATAAATGTACTTTGAATTTTTCAATGTTTCGTGTTTGCGCGACGTTCAGTAGGGAGGGATGCAGCAAAGGGTTGTCAAAATGCATGTGTGCATGCCGGGCATATCACAGCTTTCAGGGGTCGATAACTCCGAGTCGGCGGCGGCACGCTGTGACCGGCTTTTAACCGATCGAATCGTGAGAAAAATAGCAGCGGTATCAGCCGTTTTGCTCGAAAAATACCGGACACGTTTATCATTCGGGATACGCGGAAATTATCTGGCCCAGCGCGCGCCGCTTCTACCGCGACGATCCCGAAAGATGCGGTCGGAATATTAGCACGCGTAGCTCAGCCACCCGCCTGCGTCATATCCGCTCGATAAATTCACGAACCCGTTAGACGACCAATAAAACTGTAGAACCTTTTAACTAATGGCTTGCTGGCTTTACGGCGGTGAACTTTAATGCCTCCTTTTCGTTTCATCCGGACCGTGAACGCGAGACACCCACGGCTATCAATCTCTATCACAATTTGTGGCCAAGGAAGAAGTTTTTGTTATTTTAAAAACACTGAGGCGATGGCACTAAAACTAAACGTGCCTTAGATTATATCTGAAAAATAATTTACATACTCCGCCAAAAGCTTAAGACATGTAATAAAAAACTGTGTCCAATATTTGAAGCAATGAGCTTTTAGAGAAAATTTAAGTGAAGTTTATAAAATTGTTCGACCTGTTTTTCTCAGTCATAAGGAATTTTTAACACATAATTTCTAATATTCTAATACATAGTTTTGGCATTTTTTATTGTACTGTACGTGACTTGCAACTGTCTTCATTATCTACATGTCTTATAATTACTTTTGCATACTTTTTATTGTATGTCTGAAATAATATCCTCGAAATT